GAAAAGCCTCAGAAGCGTGGGACGCGGCTGCGGCTTTGCTCGCGATGTCTCTGGTCTGCTGGAGACGGTCCCCAGCAGACCAGGGGCACCGCGAGCAAAGCAGCAGCAGCGGCGGGTTCCCCCGCTTCTGAGGCTTTGCCAGATGCCCCTGGTCTGCTGGAAACTCTAGCCAAACATTTCTCCAGAGCTCAGTTTTATTCTCCCACACCTCACTTCCCTCAGTCCTTTATTCTCAAGCTGAGGTGTCTGCTGAGAAAAGCCGCTCTGCGTCTCCCTGGTCGGTGGCGCTAGCTTCACGTCTCCCTGGTCTCTGCTGGGGGGAAGCAGCTAGTGCGGGGTTGCCTCACCCCGTTTGTAAGTAGGGATCCAATGTAAGTCGGATCCATGTAACCTGGGGACTGCCTGTACTACAAGCTGTCACAAACAAATGTAGCATTTAAAGTAACAGACATGCAAGCACAAAACTACCATAATTCAATATACTATACAAACTTATTCAAGCTATACATCAATTTTTAAAGTACAAATATGTATTATTTCAAGTTGGCCATTTGAAGTTGTTATGGTTTTTTAATCTTTCCATCTTGATTTTTAAAATTTAGCACAGTACAGAATACAAATGCCTTTACAAATATATCAAGCCAGAAACTGCCACTCTGTGGTCAAATATTGTTGCTCTTCAATCAGTGGGCAATAACCCATACAATACACACTGCAGTACATAGGGAAACATGATGAGCAAGCATCTTAGTCTTATTTCTGACCCTTCCTGGTCTTTGCTAGTTTAAAATCACAAGAGTGCCGCTGCATGACATAGAATGGGGAGGAAGCAATACACCAGACTGCTTCACAATATAGTAGAGGGACATATGGAACACAGCGCTTTGTAGTTGAACACAGCTACATTTCTATCACTATTGTAGTTGAATAGGTATTCAAAGTGTTTGCTTCAACTGTTACTCTTAATATACAAATTTTAACTGAGGTGTAAAATTACATCACTACAAAACAATTCATAAGGCTGCAGTTTGACATTACAGACATTGCATTTACTTTAATTATTGATACCTGTATTGTGTTTATTGTCTCAACTTGGACAATGAAATTAAATCAATTAGTTTCACTTTTGTTTACAGTCACATTCTCTTTCTGGATCTTATGCATAGGCCCAGTTTGAACATCGAACACTACAGGAACAAAATTGATTGAAAATATCCAGTGGAAGCTTTAAAGAAAATCATGGAAACATTTATATTATTTTTTATAAAAACCCACTTTATTTCCTTCTGAAAAACTAAACCATAGCAAGAATTTAACCTGAAATTTTCTCTTTACGCACTGTTAATTCGTCATGTTTGCAATAAAGAAAAACTTGACTCAATTCTTAACCTTTGTACTCTGCTCCCTGAAGAATAAGTTCATAAGCCATTTTATGGCTAATAAAGTCAACTGAATTGTCAAGAATTATTAGCTCACTCCAAAGAAAGTTCTTTACCCTGCATGAGTAAGACACTTATTTTAAATGATGACATATACTTACTCTCACCCTTGTCAAAAATACGTGGATTGGTATAGTCTATCAATAGAAGTTACCTAAAAAAATATGTAACAAACATTCTTTTATTTTGTCTATTAATTTAGCCATTTCAAGTTTTTACAAGGATCCGGTAGTATAAGGATTTATTAAAGAATCCATCTGTCAAGCATGTGTAAGCATTTACAATACATCGGATACAATGTGCATTGTAATCCAAGTAATGGTTGATGAACTGTCCAGTCAAAGAACATTTTTGTTTAATTTTCAAGCAGAAAAAAGTTTAGGTGGAGAAACAGAACTTTTTGGGAGTGGAAATTATTTTGGGGCAACAAATTTATCAAACTTGATAAAAAGCTTCAATAGAAAGCATGTTCTTTTGCAGTCCTGAATCCTTATGTTCTTAGACCAGCTGATATAAAACTTCACTTGTCCACGAGGACAAATCCACACAGAAATATTTAGGATTTTGAAATAGAGACTACAATAGTTCAACAAACCCAATGTAATTTTAGCGTTTTCCTTAGCAACAACTGTCAGATAAAAATAAGACTGATAGAAAAAACCACAAGAAGGAATTTGTGAGATTATCAAAATGACATTTTCACTGAGTACAAAAAACACCTTATCTGTATGTATGCAGGATAAGAAAGTTTTCACTGTAATAAGAAAAAAAAATCACCCTCCTCATAAAAGCCTACTTGCTCCCAGATGAAGCCCTGAGCTCTCCCTTTCAACTGTTTAACTCTTCCAATACATTTAGAAGCACCTGCATCAGGCCTTTACTTTTCAGCTACTGTGTAGGAAGGAGTTTAGGCTGGATCTGTAAATACTCGGGACTCACTCAGGTTCTAGTTGTGCCCTTCTATTTTTCCTTCCCAATTAATTGGTAAACTGTATGTTAAGTTCAAGAAAGGTGTGGGGGGGGGGGGGGGGGTGAGAGCTACTGCAAGTAACGAACATGCACAGAGAATTAGCTATTCTCCTCCTAACGTTTAACCTCTATAACCTTCCAATGTTAAAGCCTCTGGAGAAAAGTGACAGAGATGCAGCCGTGTAAGTCTGGTCTAGCTAAAAACAAAAGACAGACCTATGTAGCATTTTCAAGTCTAACAAGAGTGCTACATAGTTCTGTGTCTAGAAAAGCACTGCCTCTTTATTCACAGCAAGCGTCCTGTCTAAGTTAGTCTGGTGATAAGTATCTTTCCTACAGCTGCTGTGGCTAGACACTTAAGTTGCGGCTACCTAGACAATTCCGGATACAGACTCTCACCACACACACGGTTTGATTTGGAAACTTTTCTAATATTCC